AATATACATGCAATATGGAGAATTTAGATATTGTTGCGTTACTTGAAGATGACGGTCATAATGACCGAATAAACGTATTGCACCTTATGCTTAATGAATTAGTCGAACCGTTACCAGAACTGGATGAACTAGAAGTGAGGCAACGTGATGAAAGACCTAGAAATCGTAATTATTACGAAATTATTGTTCCTCAATACGACGTTGTTTTATTTAAGGAGCATTTTAGAATGTCTCGTGCAACATTTGAAGTAAGTATAATAAATTTTATAAAACTACAAGTATGTTTTAAAGATTAATTTCGGTATTCAAATCAATTGTAGAAATTTTTGTAGGTGCTAGTTGATATAATTGGAAATTCCATACATGGGAATCCAAATTACCTTGTGGATTTGAGAAAAAAAGTTATGTTTTCATTGTGGATTTTATCTAAACCGGAAAGTTTCCTTGCTGCTGGAGATCGCTTTGATTTACCCAAGAGTACTGCTCACTACGTATTCAAAGAAGTTATCACCATTATAGCTAACCTCTTACCGAATTATATTACATGGCCTGATAGACGATATCATAATGTTGAAGAGATTTTTCGAAGACGTTCTCGGGGATTTCCCGGTGTTATTGGGGCGATTGATGGTTGCCATATTCCAATAAAAGCTCCTGTAGGCAACTCTATAGATTTTTATAATAGAAATAAGATACACTCGATTATATTACAAGGTGTATGCGATCACAAGGCACGTTTTATAGACGTTTTCATCGGAATGCCTGGACGAATGCATGACGCTCGAGTATTTAGGCAGAGCGAGTTGTTTGCACGATTGAATAATGCTGAAAATCCTTTGCTACCCTTTAATATGCATCTTATAGGGGATTCTGCCTATCCTTTAATGCCAAATCTTATGACACCGTTTCGTGATAATGGTCACCTAACGAGAGCGCAAAGTAATTATAATATTAAATTAAGTATGATCAGAGCTATTATCGAAAGAGCATTCGGTCTTTTGAAAAATAAATTCCGAAGATTAAAATATTTAGATATTTCCGACCCAGCTTTGGGAAATACTATCATAGCAGCAGCGTGCGTCTTGCATAATTTTTTAATTGATCGAGATGAAATTAATTTCGAATATGAAGCACCAATCGAAGCAATGGCAATACCGAACGATGATATAGATATACTAAATGATAATATTCCTGCGGTAACAAAAAGAAATGAAATAGTTCATTTATTACAATAAGAAAAAAAAATTTATTTGAAAATATATTTTGTATGTTCACATATTAACTCAATTTATTTTATTACAATACTGTATATTATATTAAGAATTCATTTGACGCAAAACTAATGGGCGTTTTCAGGCAAGATAATACGGTATATTAAGTAACAGCAAAGAAAATTGTTTATTGAAAAAACTAAATGTATCTTTTGAATGTTAATTCTAACAAGAACTATATTGAAAATATAAACTTGTAGCATTTATGTATTCTTTTTTCCTTCATCATGTTGATTGCTCCTCAAAAGTAAGAATTGTTCTATCAACTTGTTTCTCTCTTCTTGGATTTGATTACTTCGATCTATGGACGACTTGAGTTGTAACATGGTGTCGAGGCGTTTTTCTTCGATGGAAATTTGTTTTTGTCGTAGTTTATGTAGCGTACTCATTCGAGCTTTTCCCAACGGTTCAGATATTTGCGTTACACTAGCACAAGGACTTGCAGAGGAACTTCTTGTCGAGGGGCAGCTAAGTGGACTTTGATCAATTAGCTGAAAAGGTGATATTGACGAAGTAGCAGATGTGTTCAAACTATTACAAATATTAGAGAAATCTGAAACTTGTGTTAAGGTGATTACTTCATTATCATCTTGAGAAGATTCATTTGCGGTTATTTCATTATTTCCTTGCATCGAAGAAAGTGTTGAACTGTAGTTTATTGTCATGTCATTGGCAAATATGTCTTCAAAAGTATCGAAGTACTCCCATGAAATTCGTCCTCGGCCAGTGCTAGTTTTTTTATTATTATTATCCTTTATATTCTTATAAGATTTTTTCATGTTACGCATCTTTCTATCAAGGAGATCTTCATTTAAGTCACTATAACCATTTTCCTTCATAATTAGAAGAATTTCGGTCCACAAAACCTTTTTTTTAACTTTAGGATCGCGAAAACGATCTTTACGTTCCAAATAACTGTTCAAAAGCAATTTTGTTGATCGCTGAGTCCACGAAAAATTCTTTATTTCAGATCCTATAAGTATACCAAAAATATGTTATATATTTATTACTCTTCTAATAATAAATTGATTAGATAAAAATTTATATACCAGTATTTGTATTGTTAGTAGTATCATCTACAATAGAATTCAAAATTGGAGCAGTTGTGTTATCGTCCAAATATTGCGACAAAAAACCCGCATCTAAAAGGTAATTATTGAATTGTTAAATCGTTGACACACAGTAACAGTATTGAAGTAAAATAAATCTTAAATCAATTTGCGCAGAGAAAATTCCAATTGTAAACAAAAATGATTACATATAATTAAAATATAGACGTTCTTCATAAAATAATGGGTAAAAAGATAGAAAGTACTAAGTTATAAATGATAAAATAATTGAAAAATAAGTAATATGTTATACACTTACCAGACTGTAACCTTGAGTGAACCTCATGGGTGTCAGTAATAGAATATTCTGCATTATTGATGATATAATTAATACTGTATGTCTCAGTGTTAGGATTCTCATTTTCCATGATTCGTAATCAGTCATTTAATCAACTGTTTATCTTTCTCTAT